AGATGCGCGACGCTAGCTTGTGGATGCGTCGCGGATGCCACTATAGCACGCTAATCATCATTCCTCGGATCATGGTATCCTGCTATAGAGGGAATACCCCTTTGAATAGGAATGCAACTGAAGGAGTTACCACTTTCATAATATGTTTCACACGACTTGAGAGAACGCTCCGCCCCACTAAGCGCAGGTCATTCATGTTTTCTCAGCTCTAAATACGCCTATCGGCACAAACCTCCAGTTTTGAGGCTTCTTTGGAAAGGAACTCAGACTTTTCGGTCCCGTGGTGAAGTAAATATCTCATACATCTACCTGGCGGATGACTCGCTTTCATTTATCACTTCCGCTGCCAATACTGTTCGTTTGTGATCTTTAATGAGATGCCATTTTTTGCAAACTTTCTGCATAAGCCGAACGAACTCGCACTGCGAGATTTTTGTGGCCGTCAGCAGATTGTGGGAAGTGGGCCAGGATGCGTCATTGTGTCGAACGCGCGAAATGGGGTCACTATGAGCATAGCCGTCATTGTCGCCTCACCACGTCTCGAGCGACTTCGCGTGCGACAAACGGGATACGGGCATTATCTTTCTTAATTGCGAATCTGTTTGCTCTCATAAAATTCGATGGACTGTTTTCAGAGGTGACCGTGGTGCCATGCCTCTTTTGAAGGTTCCAACATCTGAATTGAATCTCAAGGCTGTCCTGTTAAACGGCCAGTCTTTTCGGTAAGCATTGAACATATATAAATCCTACATGCCACAATTTGGTTATTTTATTCGTGGATCTACAAAAGCAACTAAACCATTTAGCTGGCGAAGCATAGACGACTCTTTTTATGGGGTGATAGATGGGCTTCTTCTGCATTTAAAACGAGTGGACGACGATAATATCGAATGGTCGTGCCTTGGTAGAGCTCCTACCGACGTGGAAGTCAATATCGCTCAAAAACTTCACGATTATTTCCAAGTACGACCTCATTTTAATGGCAGAATCAATCATTTGATCTTAACTCTTCATGCTCCCAGTGTATCAAATACAAGGTACAGCTGACTGCTGCCGTCTATCATGAGGAATCAGCTCTTCGTAGATGATAGCTGTTTCAGCTGGATATCAGCCTGGATAAGCTATGGGATAACTGGTCATCTGAAGACACGATTATGGCCGAATTGAGGAATGTAAAGGAGTTACACGGTATTCGCATACTGAAGCAAGATCCATTCGAAACACTACTGGCATTTATCTGCTCAACAAACAACAATATTCCAAGAATCTCAAGTCAGTTGTCTCACAAAATATGACATAGGTGGTCAACTCGATCGTGATTGGTCAAGTGTGCGAAGGTCACTCGCCAACCAATCACGGCCATGCTAGCCACTTGAGTTTCAAATTCTGACCTAGAACGGTATTACATCATATAAATTCCTTACTTTTTATTTAGGCATGGTAAACAGATTGGCGAAGCTATATGGGGATCCCATTACTCTCAATCCGAGTTATGATGGAGCAAAAGTTATTGATAATTTCCCGGAACTGGGTCACGCTTTTCCTACTTTGTCACAGTTGAGCGATGTACAAGGCGTGTTGGAAGATGTACTTCGGGAAGGACTTTTTGGATATCGGGCCAGAAGTATAAGGTGAATATTCTAATTTGTGTGGTCCCTAAAACGGACTTCTCTAATTGGTGGTTTGTCAGCGGACGCGGGTAGTTTTTTCTTCAGAAAAAATTCTGGTAATTTCAGTGAGACGGTCAGGAAACTCAGCACCATGCCTAGTACATGCCTCGAGGATGTGCAAAATCTGAAAATCGACGAGATCCGCGAATTCCTACTTGGTTTTGCCGGTGTTGGCCCGAAGGTATGTTGCTCTTGCCTTTATTCGTCAATGGGACACATGCCTACAACGTGCAAGCCGATTGACCGCGTAGCGACCGCTTGCGTCCCAACCATGCAATTTCTTTGTTGGGGTTTTCTCGATAAAAATCTATGTCCATGTATCAGAAACAGGAAGTTGCTCAAGAATTTGCCTTAGGTTGCGGAATGTGTCGCTCTGATGTCTCTCGGACAGAACCAATGTGTTCCTATTGATCGGCATGTCTTCGAGGTAAGTTTATGTATACTTTCAATTTGTTACATTTACCAAAATGAATTATGTACCTCACAGATAACCAAAAAGTACTACCTGCCGGAACTGAAGGACTCAAACCTGACGAACACTTTGAGTCGCCGTCTGAGTGAGTCAATTGTTCATTTGCTTATTCAATTGCTATCGAAAATTTCGTCACCATACTCTTCCAAAAACAAACTTATGTTACCTGTACTACTTCTTTAGCAGCATTCTATGAAGAGAAATTCGGCAAATATGCTGGCTGGGCTCAAGCTGTGCTTTTCAATCAACAACTGGAGAAATTCGTACAGACGCCATCAAAGGAAAAGAAAATCAAACGGGAAACTGTTAATAATGGGAAGATCAATAAGAATGTTCCTAAAAAGCTAAAGCAGCAAAAGCGAAAAGCTACGGCAGTCAGTGCTTAGATCCGTTAAAGCAGAAGTCGTGTTGGACCTTTGGGCGGAGTGATCCCTAGCGATCAGCCAATGAGGAGCGCATCAGTAGGGTGTCATAGGGTCTGCTGTCAAGTTTTGTGGCCCCATCACCAGCGGCACGTAGCGGCGAAGAACCGTGATGGGGACTTTTTAAGGATTTTCCCATTTCGGAGTCTTTAAATCTTTCACAACTTACAAATATTATTTATAGGTTTTACGATTGCAAGGAAGTATTGTTGTTGTTGTATATGTAAGTGCATTATTTGCACTTTTTTTGTTTTTTCTGCATTTTTCTCAAAGTTTTCTGCTTGTACTATGAGATTCGAATCATGACCTCTCGTAACCTTGCCTTCAAGTTTTGCTCACTATTCCATGATTTCTCCGAGGCTGTATCATAAATGATCTCGTTACAACCTTATTAATTGTAATGACTTTTTCACGTTGTTATTGCCACTCAAAAGGCAATAAATTTTGTCAAGTGAAAATTTAATTTTACACTATCGCCATGGTCAGCGCACCTTGCGGCGGCGCGGGATTAACACAGAAGAAGATTGTTGCTATGATAATTGTTTTCTAAAACGATTCCTCACCTCGTATCGATGGGATAAAGATTTTACAAAAAAAATTGTAAAAAAATAGGGCTCAAAAATCATGCAAAAGAATCCTGAAGAGGCACAGTAGGTACATCGCTAGAGGGTCATAATAAACACTTACATAAACAATTACAATTACAATAATACCCCTCTAGTTATGCTCCGTCGTGCCATGACGTTTCCCCACAACTTGAAATTTTTCAAGAGTGTGCGAAGAAGCAGATTGTATTCGTCAATCAAAGGAAAGGGGTGAGGGTCTGCAGATTCAAAAGGGAATGGCCGATATTGTTTTGCAATGGAGAACACTATAAATCATCACGAATCACGAGTTATCACTTTTGACGTCATTTGTAGCCTCCAAGGGTATAATGGGAAGGGGATGCGTTTGATGAAAGTTGAGAAAATCAAGGGTTCCTAAGCGACTTCATGCTTCGGAGCTCTATATCAGTTCAGCCACAAAATCCAATTCAATGTGGTACTGAAAGTCGTTCCATGCTCGGCAGTCAAACTATGTAAGAGGAGTAAGCGATCTTACCAGGATGCGCCATGTATGAAACTTCCGTTCAACCGTTCTGTTGCGCCCGGCCTCGGATCCCTTCCGTTCTGAAATTCTGGATTTTCGGATATCTCCGCTCTCGAAGTCTGAATTAAACTAATGATTACTGGCGAAAAAAAACAAAAATTATTTCAAGTATAATAATAAAAATCATGATGATCAATTAACAAATAGGAGCATTATTTACTACTCAACTATATAAGACATCATCTCCAAACATAATACAATGATTCTAAGGACATTTTCTAGGGTAATGTAGAACACTTGCTCTACCATACCGAAGGCTTCTAAGCCTTCAGCATCCTGTTGGATCCTTGTACGGTAACAATTACGGTAACTTTTGGCGGTCGACGGTAGTGGAAGAGATAAAGTGAAAAACAAAGACGAGCCTCAGTTTAGAGATTGTAATAAACACTACCAGTAAAGAACGAGTAGTATACGATCCCACATGAAACCTATAAATAAAATGTGATGTTATCGTGGGGATCATAATCGATTCCATCTATTAAATAAATGAATTTGATCTACATTGGCGCATTTTTTGTGTCATTGAGGTGTCGCAACGGGCGGTCGTCGGTGGCCTAATCTGTTTCCTTTATTTTTTATCGCATTTCTTAATCAATTGTTTTTATGATTTAGTATTCTTTATATAACTTGTACTGGCTACTGTAACAATAAAAATGCATTTTTGTTTATTTTCAGGGGTGACTTGGTATTTCAGTTAACCGGACACCCTTCAAAATTGTATGTCATTACCATTCGACCCTACACTAGACTGTAGTGCTGCTAAATATTCGCTTGAAGATAGTGTAAGTTATTAGAGCGAATTGAAATCATTAAACTACAGTGTAGTTGTTTGTTTTTACCAGCTGAGTTTGTTTACAGAAATCTCGGCCGCCACTAACTAACATGCAGAACCAAGGTAATATGTATACACCGAGGACCGGTCAACAACAACAGGTGGATGGGTACGGTTTGAGTCGATTTATTTATTGGATGCGGTCAAAGTCATAAGTAATCCATATTTAAGAATCGATGACTCATACCCTAAATCTGGGCTGGAACGATTTCGCGATTACATCGGACGGACCTGCTGCTCATGCTTCTTGAAGGTTTGTCTATTCTAGTAACCTCGTCTGAGGTAAACCTTCCTACGCGGTGGTTGGAGGACTAGAGTTGATGTTTTTGTTTACACATTTATCCTGACGTTTTTTCATTGAAGTAGGCCTGTGGCTGCTGTAATAGGTATAAGTTTACCACGTTCAAAAGGCGAAAGTGCGAAAAATAGAAATAATAATGAAAAATAAATAACAAATGAAAATATAAACAATAGAATAGTGGTGGAGTCGATTGAGTATTTATTGCTTCTATAGCTACAATAGTAAAATCACTCGTCTCTTGTGCAGTATTACAGTACCATACAGTACTATGGAGGTACTGTGGGACAGCTGGCTGGTGCCTAGGAAAGGTTGGAACTATCTGGGTTGCAGGCAGAATTAATGAAGTCTGGCACAACCCCAGGAACGACCGCGGCCTGCTCTCTGGGAAGAACCCAGAGAGGGGCCCAGTACTGGGCATGATTGGGAACGTGAAGAGCTGCTACTAGTGCGCTGTTGAGGTTCAATGAGCCCCTCGTTTCAACTGACCTAGGCCAAGTTGGAAAAGCTACCCATAGGGGCCTTTGCTTATTCCTTCAGTCATCTCACTCATACAGCCAAGCTTGGAAGAGTTCTTTGTATTTTACAGTTACCTGTTGTGGTGATAGTAATCGCTATATGTATCCTCGTCGCACTTCTTTTGGCTCTCATTCCGGCGGTTGTGATTTTAACGAGTGCCGTTGAAAGTGAAGCTCAACGGCAAGTTTCTGAAGGGGTAGATATGCAGGTACGATTTACAATAATTCAACCTCTTTTCCAGTTCTGTAGTACTTTTCCAGATTATTCGGAACTCTCATATATTCCCAAAACCCGATCCGTTAGATGATGAAGACGATATACTGGATGGGTTACGGCGCAGCGGTATCACCACGGTACACGGAATCCCGTCGACAGCTCTATTCCCCCCGAATGTCTCATTATGTGAAGGATTCGGTTTTGCATGCACAATTCAGCCGGTGAGGATAGGGCATTGTTCGTGAACTTTGATTTGTTCATCACTTGGTCTCTTCGTAGGTTTTTATTGATTGAATTCCCGATTGCCTTGTTTTCGGTCATCCTTGGTTCTAGAAACTTTCTCCTTCTCAACCAACTTTTTTTCAAGGGCAACACCTTGTTCAGTGGATTCCACGTTTGGCTAGNTTATGGGAAGGCGAAATACCCACTTGGAAGGTGTTCACTTTTTCCCCCCTTCCCATCAACTAGCTAAAGCAGCAAGGGCTTCGATAAAGGTGGAGGTCGATAAGTTGGCGCTTCCTGCATTTGAAGTAACTTGGAACTGTTTTTCATATCTTAAATGGGACCTTGTTAGCTGGCGATTTTGCAGGGCAATCCGATAGTACGAAAAAAGTATATGTAGTGATAATATCTTTTTAGAGTACAGTTATCAGCACAGCCCTACGCTGCGACGGGAAGAGTGACTGTCCGGATGGATCGGATGAGCTGAATTGTAAAGGTAAGCTCCAACTGATAACCTAGCGCAGGCTTTTTCCCCGAAAGTTTTTTGTTCACTTGACAGAGTGCCAATCTGCATTCTCATGCTCGATTTCAAAGAAATCTAAGGTGAAGGTCTGCCTGCGAGCCGAGCAGCTTTGTGATGGCATTGCTCATTGCCCGGATGAGTACGACGAGCACGAACACTGCAGTATGTTTCAGGATTGTTAATTGTGGTAGTAGATGATTTCTGTAACTGTAGTTTATAGAGGAGGAATGTGGTGAGAATGAGTTGAAATGTCCTTCGACGACTCTTTGCCTTCCACCAGAGTCCATTTGTGACGGTGTTGTGGATTGTGATACTGAAGACGATGAGACTAATTGCAAAAAGTGCAAGCGTGGAGCCCAGGTGACTATGAAATTTCATAAAGTTTGTTTGGTAGTAGTAATGAAATGAGAATTGTGAAGTAGGCTCGTAGGCTTCAGAGCTAGGGAACGAAGAGCGTGTGAATCTGACCTGTGATTGGTCGGTTGTGAGTAGGAGCCAATCACAGTAATGTTTGGCTCACAGCACCGTCATTTAGGCTATTTTTGCTCTCATTTAGGGTTTCCTGCAAGCTAAATTCAATTTGTGAATTATAAAATGTTATAGAAAGAGGCTGAAACCCTGAAAACCATTCTTTGCATTATTTTCGAGCATGACTTGTCAAGGACATGATTCAAGCCATAGGACCAGGCAGTAGCGCTTATTTTTGTTTAGCATTTTGTCGTCTTTTTTCAGTTGTGTAAGCCAACAAATCGTTGCATACCGCCTGGCCAGTTATGTGATGGTATCCCACAGTGTCCTGATGGATCAGACGAGAAGGTGGGATCCATAGTGATGGACGTGTTTCATTCCCAGATTTTGACTTCGGCATTTGAGGACTGTGATTGTCGTTCATGCTGTGGGTCAGGAAAAGCCCTCTGCTCTGATGGCACCTGCTTAGAACGTTCAAGGGTATGTGACGGTGTAGTGGACTGTAGTGATGGCGTTGATGAGGAAGATTGTCCAGGAACATGTATCTTGAGCAAAAATGCTAAGGTATACATAAATGTTTGTTTATATTCAGACAAGGATCGATCGATCCATCTCTAGCCCATGTTCAGATCCCCCAAGTGGTCTGCGCCGATGGGCGACGGTATCCGAGAGCCGAGGCTTGCTCGGGTGTCATTGAGCAGTGTGCGTACAACTGCACAGAGTGCGACAAACAATTAGCATTTACTTGTAAGGATAAAAAATGCATACCCCAGATGCTGGTAAGTTCTCGCATTGTGCTATCTGTACCTTCAGTGAGTGAGACCCTAGGCATTTGAGAGTGTCTGTGATTGGTGGGTTGTGAGTCCCACCAATAGCAAGCCTTTTGCGCACGCGCTCTTCTTGCGTTATACCTGGAACTTGGGTATTGTACGAAGCAGATCAGAGATGTACCACTATGTGCAAGAAATTTTTTGAGAGTTTCCAGGTCTGCGACGGAATAGACGACTGTTTGGATGGTGAAGACGAAAATGACTGCAGCTGCACGGTAAGCCTGGATTCGATGAGTCTAGGTTAAATCGAGCTTTCCCAGATTCAACCTGTACCGATGATTTAGGACTAGTGTACACTACTTTACTGGAGTACTTTACTTAGATCTCCCTTCAGGGCTTAAATAAATTTGAGTGCCGTTCGGCATCAGGTAAACCTAAATGCATCTCCAAACAAAAGGTATGTGACGGTGTATGGGACTGCATGGATGGAAAAGACGAGACCAACTGTAATTCGGTAAGGATCTTCGCTTCATCCTATACCTTGGGCCATTTTATTGATTCTTCCAGTGTCCTTCCAATGCTCTTCGTTGCCCTGGTGAGGGACGATGATTTAGGACTAGTGTACTTTACTTTATGGAGTACTTTACTTAGTTCTTCCTTCAGGGTTTGAATAAATTTGAGTGCCGTTCGGCATCAGGTAAACCAAAATGCATCTCCAAACAAAAGGTATGTGACGGTGTATGGGACTGTATGGATGGAAAAGACGAGACCAATTGTAATTCGGTAAGGATCTTCACTTCATCCTATACTTCGGGCCATTTTATTGATTCTTCCAGTGTCCTTCCAATGCTCTTCGTTGCCCTGGTGAGGGAACATGTATACCCAAGCTCTCACGATGTGATGGTATAGCAGATTGCCGGGACGGCTCTGATGAGACCGATTGCACATGTGAAGGTGAGGCTGGGCCCGCAGACTTTTTTGGATCTCTGAGAGGCTTCCGAAATCTCAGGAATGCTTTGAACAGGTCCCTCTGGCTCTGTTTATCGATTGGATATGCGTCGCGCTGCCGCGACGCTCCCAAATCTATAAAGGCCTTCCTTAATTAAACGCCTAATGATAGTTACTTCAGAATGCATCGGTAATCACTGGAATACGTACATGTGTGGTGCGACGTCCCATTGCTTCAGAAGAGAAGAGGTGTGTGCACCATACACTTTGTGCCCGAACGCGACCAAGGCTGATAAGGTCTACTGTGCTGGACGAGCACTACGTGGAATGGATTGGTTGGAATGATTGCTCAGGAATTGATCGAATGCGCACGATTAGGCACGAAATTTGCGTGGCATGTGGGATGGGATCAGAAAATCAGCGCTTCAGGCCCTTAGGGCAAGTAACGAACGCTCATGCTTGGTCCCATCAGCGACTAACCTCCAACTGTCAATTATGAACGCACTTGTGTCACGTCCATTTTTCTGCCTGTTGTACGCTATCCGTAAATTGTGATTATACTTGTGAAATAAGTCATTAAGATTGTTTTATATCTTTATCAGATTTCCTAGATTTTATATGCGTTAACAATATGTATTACAATAAATTTATCAATTTGATTAGTGTCCAGTTACTATAAATGGAGCAGATGTTCTCCATTCACAATACTTACGAGCACGTATCATGATAATCGATAATCGTGCACGGTAATCAATAGTACCCGTTCCATGAGGACAGTGGAGGGCGCTGCACAGGTTTAATGCGCTCAAAAGTTTTCATTTATGAATGACGTTAACGCACAGTAAGATGTTCCAGTGTGACACATTTGGTCAGGAAAGTGGATAGATCGTGCCATTGAGGCTTCTAAGGTGGAAATAGCTGCTATACCAGGCAGGGAAGTGTGTAATGGCTCAGCTGTACGAGTCGAAATACCTGATTCCATATGTGTTTTTCAGTTAAAAATCTTCAAATTGTTCTTCGCTAGCATGTTGCTGGTTTAAGAGCGACCCAGTAACATTCTAGTAACAGCAGTTCATCGTAGTTTGAGCTGAAAAGAGGAATTGCGCGTGGGGAACTTGGTGACTGTCGTGACAACGCGCTACCTAGTGGAGTTCTGGGTACTCAGTTAGAAAGAAAAGTATTTATTTTCCAAACCAAGAAAGGGATGGAAACGCGCTCCAGTCCGAATTAAAGGGACCCTTTTGTGACGTCTTGGGTGGATAGCCCTGTAGCGAGCGCAATTCACGGTTTACTATGGGCGGTCTGCAAAGCTTTGCTTTCTGCTAAATTTCTGTGAGAAATTTGTAATATTAGTGGATTTTCATTACTAGTTAAGCTTTTCCTCTCCATTGCAGTCGAAGGTTAGATCTTTTGAGGATACTGATCCCCGATTTTTTGGTTGTGACGCTATTTAGTGTGAGAGCTTGATTATAGTTTTAATTTTCCAATTTATGGTGTCCGAGTCTGCCTTCGTTTGCTGCCGGTTATTATCTTCCACATTGGTTTTCAAGTACACATTTTATTTTTAATATCTGAAAATGTTGATGAGCTTGTTCTAGTGCGTGGAAGTTTGGCTTGGGTTTTTTTTTTGAGTGCCATTACCTTTTTACTGCTAGTATTGTTGTTCATTCTAATCCTCATTTCGTCATGCCCGCCTATAGAGTAATATTTGGTAATTTTTATTATTCCGATAAATATCATCATTATCCAGGTAGTAAAGGATGTCGCTAAGCCGCATCCTGCCGGCGGGTAGAAACGCTCGGTTCATCATTGTTCCGGTGCGATGCGCACACAACACTGCTCGTAAGATGTTTTTATTCTTTACTAGTTATAGGGTTGTTTACTATTTATTTCATCTAACTCATTTTGAAATTTGAACGAAAACGACTGGATTTTAC